TCAGATTATCAATGTAGTGGCGTGATTTCAGAAGTGCAAAAACCAAGAAAAACCATGGCAAGGAGAGGAATCTAGTATTCACAGGATGAAACTCAATTGCTACCCGCTGGAAACGACAAGACTCAGTTGTAGTTGTCGACGTGTCTTAGGCTGAGTTCTCAAGAAGAAAAACCTAGTGAAGATTCAAAAGGTGTACACGGAGAAACCTGAATCTCAACAAAATGGCTCATGTGGTTATAGATGCTCCAAAAACCCCAAACTCACTGCCATGGGGTCAATGCTGACTCACAGTGACCTCCCTGTGTGTTTCTGAGACTTTCCCTGTTTACAGAACTAGAAAGTTCCATCTTTTCCCACCGAGGATTCAAACTGCCGGCCATAGGATGGCAGCCCAACTTGTAACCACTACGCCACAGGCCTCCTTTTCTCTCTCCATCACCACCACCCAGGCAGTCGATGCCAGCTTCTCGTGGGCCTTGAGTGGGTTTCCTAGACTGTAACCGTGTATGAGCGTAGAAAGGCCCATCTCTCACTTGTGCCACAACCGGTAATTCCTAACTGCTTACCTTGTGGATCTCGTAACCACAAAGATCCGAGCTAGTTCTAAATCCATGGTTTAAATATCTGGTGAGAGGCTGCGCCTGATTTGCCTAGCAAACCGTAAGGATTAAAGTCAGGAGGCAATGTGACAGGTGAGATCAGGCCTCTGGCTGTTGTGAGACATAGATCCAGGTGTGGCAGGCAACTGGTGGGGAAGCCAAACATCTACAGAACTCAGAAGAAAGCTACAGCTTGGAGGAAACTTCCTTTCATTTGACCGGCTGCTAACAGCTAGTTTCATCATGGAAGTGTTTCCATTGTAACAGATATCATGTGGGGAGATGGCTGCATCCTAACTGCCAAGCAACTGAGAGCAATGTCCCAGTCAAATTGACACACAACCTTCACCATCATGGTCGACAATGGCTTGTTCTAGGACCACTGTCAAAAATGAGCAAAGGGTCTCAGTACATTGTCTATCAGAAATGTCCAAAGAAAAGGACAGACAGGAAAATTAAGGTTGTCTCTTTC